TGTTTTGTTTTCCAGCTCCTGTCCAGCTACAGAACTATAGTATGGGGCTAGAGATGAGGTTACAGTTACAGACAAAGGAGTCAGATAAACCAGAGCAAAGTGAGGGAGCTGGTCAATGCAGGTGTGAACCTACCACGAATGCACCTCAGTGGCTGTGGGTCTCATTATGATCATTTTCTGCTCTAGGCTTACACCTCCACCTCACTCTTCCCAGCCCAGCTCCCATGCTCTTGTTGAACAGAAGATGCCCCTGGACCTCCTTTCTGGCCCTGTGGATCCCACTTCACCTTGCAAGTAGAAGAGGATTTTTTTTTTTTAAGGAAAACTCTGTCTCTTCTCGTGTTTGAAATCCTTCAGTGGCTTTCCTTTGTTCTTCAGAGAGTTCATATACTTTATTACTGTCTTTTCATAAACACCAACACAGACCTCATGCTCAAACAAATTATAGTCTTACTGGAATTGCTTTGGCTGTTGAAAGGACACATGCTTCTTGTTCATTTGGGCAAGCTTAAGCATTAACCCCCATGACCAGGATGCTCTTCTTCCTCCCTCTGACCGATCTCCAACTCCAACTATGACACCCATGGAGCCCTTAAACAGTCATTTAGGTTTCTGTTTATTAACGGTTTCCTCCAAAGTGCCCATTTTAAATTCCTTTATCAACTAGGATTCTTGTGAGCTCGACTCTCCTGCTCTGTTGAATTGATCTTTAATACCTAGTGCGGTGCTTGGCACCCAGAAGGTACTCAAATAACTGTAGTATGAATTAGTAAGCAAAAGTGCATCCACAAATCAATTAACAAATTGTCGATCTTCACAACTTATGCATTAGCAGCTCCACTTAACAAATGAAGAAACTGAAGTTTATAGCACCTAATACACTTGTAAAGGGTAATGCATTTATTAACAGAAATGGTATTTGTTGCCAAGTTCCTCTTATTCTGAAATCTTTGCTCTCTCATCAGCATTGGTCTGGCTCTCTTGTTCTTGTTTCTTTCCAAATGATCAATGCTTATAGCGAGAAAGAGAAAGAGGCAGTGTAGTATAATGTTTAAGAGCACAGATTGCTGATAGATTGCAAGAATCAAATCTTTAACTCTGAAATGTACTACTTATGTGACCTTGGACTATGTACTTAAACTTTCATTGCCTTAGTTTCCACATCTATAAAATAGGAATAATCATAGCTGACACATAGTGGTGTGTAAAGATTAAATGAAATAAGGCAATTAGGACAAAAACTGCTTCATTTTGAAGCTACTATTTTAGCTTCATTATTAATATATCAGAAGAGACAGGGTTTTACTAATTAGTGTTCCCAGGCCAGGTACTCTGTGGTTTATATTTAAATTTGCCTTTAAGTTAGCCTTATCTGAGGGATACCTTTCTAGAGGCAAAAGTCTAAAACGTGCACATCATCTGCACGACTGTTAGGTCATGGCAGTAGATGGCTGGGTTATAGAAGGTGACCTTTCAGAGATGCTTACCAGCCTCAATTATTTGAGACTGGCCTCCATGTCAAGCTAATCATGCTCCAAACACTGATCCTGACCTACAAGAAGTCTCCAGAATGTAATCTGTATGAAGGAAAGTAATTTATTTAGCACTAAATCCAATGTCCACTCTTCTTTCTTGCGCTACATGAAATTTTCCTTTGGGAAACAGGAGGCTTGAAGAACAGTTTTGCATTTCAAATGTAATGCCACAAAGCAGATCATTAGCATTGTGTTTACTAATGGAAGATAACCTTCTTGCCTATAACTGAGAGAAGAGTTATGTTTTAGTCAATGTTTGAGAATATTTATCTTCAGGCCTCTCTAATCCATGTAAAATTTTTACCAAGGCAACTAACAGGCTTATAGTCAATGTTAGGTAGAAAGTTAAATAGAGAAGTCTTCTTTGATTTTGCTTTGGTCAGAGAATAAATATACAGGCACTCTCAGAGATACTGACAATAGGGGTACAGGTTGGTACGCCTTCTGCTGGAGTCTATTTGGCCCCTTTAATCTAATATTTTCACTATATATACTTTTTTTAGTTATAAAGATGTGGGGTACAATTCAGGGTTAGGTATGCAAACGTTGATTATGCAGGTACCCTTGTTGTTGAGTATACCCCTCCCTCCCCTAGCAGTTTCCGTCAACTTGAATATATCAAAAATATTTTTACACTCAAGATTTCCAAGCTTTAGAATTTAGATTAAGAAAAAAACTTAGAATTTTCCTAATAGTCTCTGAGCAAAGATTAATTCTTCCCTACAATTTTGTCTCCTTTATTTATTGACTTAACATTGTTTCAACCTAATAAAATATGAGTTTAATGAAAGGAGTGATGCTTTCTGTCTTTTTTCAAGTCATATCACGGATGCTTAGATTATCTGCTATATAGCAAACAAAAGTTTTCTGTTTTATAAATCAAATAATGATTGTTGTGATATGTCTGATACGAAGAACAAGTGCGGAAATAACCTATACATAAAATTTTAAAATTTATTAAGTAAATATGGCCAAATAATGGGACCGATGAAATCTGCCAAAAAGTTATAGGTTTTTTCTTAAAAATATGAGTTGAAATAGGCAAAAACATCCTCAGGACATATTATACATGAAAAAGCAGCTCATAAATCACATCATCTTAACTTTATCAATTAAACTTTACAAGGAAAAGTAAAATTTTGAGTGTTTGTATATGGTGATGGAGCCAGATATAATTTTGCTCTCTCCTTTATTTTTTAATTTTTTTAAATTTTTTATTTTTTTGAGTTGGAGTCTCACTCTGTCGCCCAGACTGGAGTGCAGTGGCCGCTCCCGGCCACCGCAGCCTCGACCTGCTGGGCTCCGGTGATCCTTCCGCCTCAGCCCTCCGAGAACCCGGAATTACAGGCACGCGCTACCATGCCCGGCTGATTTTTTGATTTATTGTAGAGATGAGGTCTCGCCCAGGCGGGTCTCGAACCCACGGGTTTAGGCAATCCACTCACCTCAGCCTCCCAAAGGCGCGAGATTACAGGCTGAGCCACCGAGCCCGGTTGCTCTCTCCTTTAAAATTGTCCTTATTTCAAGTATTATAATAAACTGTATTATGCTGTAATGTTTAAACAGCTTATTTTTTAAAGGAGAAGTTTTAAAGATCATGTAGCTGTTTGGAGAATGGTTAGAAAATAAATTAAGTCTAATTAAGAACATAGGAATATATGTTGCATTATTATTATTATTATTATTTTATTTTATTTTATTTTTTTGAGTTGGAGTCTCACCCTGTCGCCCAGACTGGAGTGCAGCGGCCGCTCCCGGCCACCGCAGCCTCGACCTGCTGGGCTCCGGCGATCCTCCCGCCTCAGCCTTCCGAGTAGCCGGAATTACAGGCGCGCGCTACCACGCCTGGG